GCTGGCTTCAGGGACCGGTAAGGAGGATGGCCCTGGTCCCCCTTAGGAGTGCCCTAAGATGAACGAAAACCAATGCTCCTATTGCAAAGAGGAGGGCCATTGGGTAAAAAGCTGGCCTAACAAAAGATCTAAGGCCCCTGCCAAGATCTTGGAAATGGAGGACCTGGACAATTAGGGGAGTCAGGGTTCGGCACCCCTCCCTCTGCCCAGGGTAACTCAAAGTGGAGGGGCAACCTGTTGAATTCCTAGTGGACACTGGGGCACAACATTCGGTTTTATTACAACCCCAAGGGAAATTGGCAAACAAAACTTCATGGGTGCAAGGGGCCATGGGCACCAAACAATACTCATGGATTACCTGAATAACTGTGGTTCTCGGCACGGGCCGGGTATCCCACTCCTTCATGATCATCCCTGAGTGTCCCTACCCATTGTTAGGTCGGGATTTGCTCACCAAGATGGGGGCACAAATTTGCTTCCAACCCGAAGGGGCAAAAGTCCTAAACAAGAAGGGGCACCCTATTCAGGTGCCTGTCCTGAGTTTAGAAGACGAATATCGTCTCTATTGTCTCCACAAAATGCCCTCAGCCCCAGTGACTGACATTGACCATTAGCTGCAGGAATTTCCCCAAGCGTGGGCAGAAACTGGGGGAATCGTGCTGGCCCGGCATCGATCGGCCATATACATAGAACTAAAGCCGGGGGCAGACCCTATCAGGGTCCGCCAATATCCCATGCCTCTCGACTCCCTAACCCAGACTGGGACCCCCCTCTGCATGACTGTCAAGAAATTTTGGCACAGGTGCATGGAATCAAAGCTGATCTCCAGGACCAGCCACTGCCGAATGCGGACGTCACCTGGTACACGGACGGCAACAGTTTTGTATGAGAAGGAGTCAGAAATGCGGGAGCAGCAGTAACCACGGAGACGGTCTGGGCGGAGCCACTGGCAGCCGGAACATCTGCTCAACGGGCAGAACTGATCGCGCTGGCCAAGGCGCTGACCATGGGGGAAGGTAAACGAATCAACATCTACACCAACAGCAGGTACGCCCTTGCCACTGCTCACATCCACAGAGTCCTTTGCAGAGAGAGAGGGCTTCTGACAGCAGAGGGAAAGACTGTTAAAAACAAAACGGAGATTCTTGAACTCCTGAGGGCCCTCTGGCTGCCCAAGGCCCTAGCCATCATCCACTGTCCAGAGCACCAAAAGGCAGACACGCCAGTAGCCAGGGGAAACCGGCTAGCTGATTTAAAAGCAAAGGAGGCAGCCCTTCTGGTGTCCCAGGTCTTAGCAACCACGCTACCTGATCCGGGGGCACCGACCCTGCCTGACACCCCCAACTATACTGATGCTGACTTACACTGGATCAAATGCTTGCCTGTGACCCAGTGCTTGCGTGGCTGGTGGAGGGCCGCAGACTCCAGCATCATCTTGCCAGAGGAACTAGGATGGCGAGTCCTATCCAAAATGCATCGGAGTACTCACATGGGAACAAGGAAGTTGGAAGACCTCATACGACATGCAAAGACCACTATTAAAGACTCTCGAGCAAAGATCGAGCAGATTGTGGCAAGCTGCTGAAGAAACCTCCCCCCCCCCTTGTAAGTAGGGCCAGCCCTAACCCAGAGGCAGCCCATCCAGGCGTCTTCCTGAAATTTTAGCAACTAAAAGCATTCTGTTTACAATAAGAAAACCGTTTCCCCCCCAACACCCTGATTGGAATGTCCCTGAATAGGTTCATGTTGACCCTCCCCGAAATCAACCTGGATGCCATGCGACTCCCGCGGTTCTTTTGTCTTTAGGCAGTTTCTTTCCTTTTGCCTTTTAAAAGATCCCTGTAATTGCTAATCGGGGCTCTTTTCCTCCTCGGAGGCGGAGAGCCCGTTTGCGCAAACGTTCAATAAACCCTCTTGCTAATTGCATCTGCCTGTCTGGGGTCTGGGTCTCTGGGGCGTCCACCGGGCCACGTTGGCACCCGTGAGCCAGGGTCCAACATTTGGGGGCTCGTCCGGGATCTGAGACGCCCCAGACTCAATCCTAAGACCGGTAGGAGGTAAGACCGAGCTCGCTAAATGTCATATCTGTCTCGTCCGTTTGTCTGACTGGCCGGGTCTGTTTTGTGCCGGGTCTGTATTGTGCCTGCAGGACGCTGTACTCTGTATTCTGTATTTGGACCAGCGGGGGAGGCAGACGTGCCCGAGACCCCTGGTCCCCCTCCGGAGTCGGACTCCGGAGTGGTCTGGAAGAGGAACGGAGCCCCGGCACTCCCTCCTCTTCGGGGAAGGTCGTTGTTCGCGACCGCTCCCATCTGAATCTGCCGCGCCAGTCCTGTCGTTCGTGTGCGTCTGTTCGTTCCGTGTTTTTCTTCCTTTCCTGTCCTCCTCCTCACCGCTCACCCCTTCTCTACACCCATGGGGCAGACTGTAACCACCCCTTTAAGCCTCACTCTAGATCACTGGAAAGAAGTCGCCGGCTGGGCACACAATCTTTCGGTCGAAGTCAGAAGACGAAGATGGGTCACCTTCTGCTCCTCAGAGTGGCCGGCTTTCAACGTCGGGTGGCCCAGGAACGGAACTTTTAATATTGATATTATCTTGCAGGTGAAGGCCCTGGTCTTCCAGCCAGGACCCAATGGACACCTCGATCAGGTGCCGTACATCATAGTATGGGAGGATCTCGCTAAGAATCCCCCCCCTGGATAAAATGCTTTATCCCTTCTCAAGGGGGACCGGGCCCGAGACCCTCACTCCCTCCCTGCCACACTCCCCCAATTCCCCGTCCCTCCTCTCCATCCACCCTTTGCCCCCTAAAATTTCCTGAATCAAAACCTAAGGAGCGCTGTGCTCCAGGGACCAGGACAGTCTCCTTCTCTTGGACTCCTCCCCTCCCCCTTATGCCCAACCCCCAACGCCCCGCTCGGAGGCCCCTACCTCTCCCTCCGCTCCCTCAGCTCCGTCCCCCGACTCTACGGGGGCAGAGGGGCAACCCCTCGCTTCACCCCCGCTCGCCAGTCGCCTCCGCTTTCGGCGAGAGCGCGGGGGAGAGTCGGAAGACGTCTGGACCTCCCAGGCATTTCCCCTCCGATCAGTAGGCGGCCAGATGCAATATTGGCCGTTCTCTGCCTCTGACCTTTACAACTGGAAAACTCATAACCCCTCCTTCTCCCGAGACCCCCAGGCGCTAACCGGATTAATTGAGTCAATTCTGTTGACCCACCAGCCGACCTGGGATGACTGCCAACAGCTCCTGCAGACTCTCCTCACCACGGAGGAGAGACAGCGCGTGTACCTCGAAGCTCGGAAAAACGTCCCGGGGGCGGATGGGAGGCCGACCCAGCTGCCTAATGAGATTGAGGATGTTTTCCCCTTGGTTCGCCCGACCTGGGACTACGACACTGTTGCTGGTAGGGAGCGGCTCCGTCTCTATCGCCAGGTACTCCTAGCGGGTCTCAAAGGGGCAGGGCGTCGCCCCACCAATTTGGCAAAGGTACGTGCTATAGTGCAGGGAAAAGAGGAGACGCCGGCAGGTTTTCTGGAGAGGTTAATAGAAGGCTACCGCATGTATACTCCCTTTGACCCCTTGGCTGAAGACCGCCAACCAGATGTAATTATGTCCTTCATTGGACAGTCGGCCTCGGATATTCGTAATAAGTTACAACGGTTGGAGGGACTTCAGGGGTACACCTTACAGGACTTAGTGAAAGAGGCAGAGAAGGTTTTTAACAAGCGAGAAACTCTAGAGGAAAGGGAGGAAAGGATCCGTAAAGAGCAAGAGGAACGGGAGGATAAGAGAGATAAAAGACGTAATAAAGAGCTGACTAGGATACTGGCCACCGTAGTACAGGGCTCAGGGCAGAGTAAGTCAGGACAGAGTAGGGACCTGGGAGACAAAAGAGGACCACGGGTTGAACGAGACCAGTGTGCCTACTGCAAGGAAAAAGGACATTGGGTTAAAGATTGCCCAAGGAAGGGCCAAACGCAGGGACCTAAAAAGAAGCCCATTCCTGTTTTGTCCCTAGAAGATGAAGATTAGGGGTGTCAGGGCCAGGAACCCCCCCTGAGCCTCGGATAACCCTTAAAGTGGGGGGACAGCCGGTGACCTTCCTGGTCGATACGGGAGCTCAACATTCAGTTTTAACTGAGGCAAAAGGACCCTTGAGCTCTAAAACGTCTTGGGTTCAGGGGGCAACTGGAGGCAAGTTATATCGATGGACAACCGAACGGAAGGTCCACCTGAGCACTGGGCAAGTAACGCATTCCTTCTTACTGGTCCCAGACTGCCCTTACCCTCTCCTAGGCAGAGACCTTCTTTCAAAAGTAGGGGCCCAGATACATTTTCAGCAAAAAGGGGCCACTATTACTGGCGCGGGAGGGCAGCCCCTCCAGGTACTGACCTTGCGCCTAGAGGATGAACACCGGCTGCACGAGGACTCTCCACCGTCCGTGCAGCCCCTAGATTCTGAATGGCTCACTAACTACCCTCAGGCCTGGGTGGAAACGGCCGGAATGGGACTAGCTGTAAACCAGCCGCCCATAATTATAAACTTAAAACCCTCGGCCACCCCCATATCGATCCGGCAATATTCAATGAGCAAAGAGGCCAAAGAAGGCATTCGGCCACATATACAGAGACTATTACAATTGGGCATTTTAATACCTTGCCAGTCGCCCTGGAATACTCCTCTATTACCCGTAAAAAAACCCGGCACAGGAGATTACCGGCCGGTACAAGATTTACGAGAGGTTAACTGGAGGACAGAGGACATACATCCCACGGTGCCGAATCCCTACAACTTGCTCAGCACCTTACCCCCAAGCCATGTCTGGTATACGGTGTTAGATCTAAAAGATGCATTCTTCTGCCTGAGGTTAAGCTCTCAAAGCCAGCCTATTTTTGCTTTTGAATGGAAAGATCCTGAGACGGGATTCTCAGGACAACTCACTTGGACAAGGCTGCCGCAGGGATTCAAAAACTCCCCCACTTTGTTCGATGAGGCCTTGCATCGGGATTTGGCAGATTTCCGAGTTGGCCATCCGGACCTCGTCCTTCTGCAGTACGTGGATGATTTGCTCCTGGCGGCTAGGACAGAACAGGATTGTGTAAAAGGTACGGGGGCCCTGCTTGAGAGACTGGGAGAACTGGGGTATAGGGCCTCCGCCAAAAAGGCCCAAATAGGCCAGAGACAAGTGACCTATCTGGGATATCTCCTGGAAGGAGGCCAGAGGTGGCTGACGGAGAGCCGCAAAAAGGCTGTAGCCCTGATCCCAGCACCCACTAATGCCAAAGGACTACGAGAGTTCCTCGGCAGTGCTGGGTTCTGCCGCCTCTGGATACCCGGGTTTGCGGAGATGGCGGCTCCCCTATATCCTCTCACAAAATCCAACACCCCCTACCACTGGGGAAAGGAGCAGCAATTGGCTTTTGACAAAATAAAAAGGGCCTTATTGACCGCCCCTGCCCTGAGCCTCCCAGATGTAACCAAGCCTTTTACGCTATATGTTGATGAACATAATGGAATAGCAAAAGGGGTCCTAACTCAAAAACTGGGACCCTGGAAAAGGCCCGTGGCATACTTTTCAAAAAAATTAGACAGCGTGGCTGCAGGATGGCCCCCATGTCTCCGAATAATAGCGGCTGTGGCAGTCCTGGTAAAAGACTCAGACAAGTTGACTTTTGGCCAACCCCTCACTGTGGTGGCCCCCCACGCCGTAGAGACAGTCATCCGCCAGCCCCTGATCGATGGCTCTCAAACGCCCGGGTCACCCATTATCAGGCCATGTTACTGAATTCTGAGCGGATACAGTTTGGAACGGCTACATCTCTAAACCCGGCCACCTTGCTTCCAGAAACCGAGTCCCCCTCCCTAGTAATGCATGATTGCCACCAGATCCTAGCTGAAGTCCATGGCACCAGAGGGGACTTGACGGACCAGCCTTTGCCAGATGCTGAAGCAACCTGGTACACCGATGGGAGTAGCTTTCTACGAAATGGTGAGCGTAAAGCCGGGGCAGCCGTGGTAGATGGGAAAGCTGTCATTTGGGCCAGTGCCTTAGAGCCTGGGACTTCAGCTCAAAGGGCAGAGCTTATAGCCCTAACTCAGGCCCTAAGAAAGGCTAAGGACAAAAAGGTCAACATTTATACTGACAGCAGATATGCTTTTGCAACTGCCCATGTTCATGGAGAAATATACCGTAGAAGGGGTCTCCTAACCTCAGCAGGTAAAAACATCAAAAACAGAGAAGAAATACAAGATCTTCTCCATTCCCTCTTTCTGCCGAGAAAACTGAGTATAATTCACTGTCCTGGGCATCAGCGAGGCAATGACCCAGTAGCAGAGGGGAACAGGATGGCCGATGAGACAGCACGGGCCGCTGCACTAGGCCCACAGGCCCTCTCCCTACAAGTACCAGAGGCTGTCCGGACACCGGGGCAACTCTCTCTCGAGTACTCAGACAGCGACCTAGATATCGTCCAGCAAATAGGGGCAGAATATGACGAGCAAATGAAGGTCTGGAAACACCAAGGGAAGACGGTCCTGCCCCAGAAAAGGGCCAAAGAACTGGTGACTCACCTCCACCGATGGACTCACCTCGGACACAAAAAATTAAAAGCACTCCTCCGGAGAGAAGGTCAGACCTATTACATTCCCAAACTCCCCTCCCTGATCCAACAGGTAACCGATGCTTGTGTACCTTGTGCTAAGGTAAATACCAAACACCTCAAGATGCCTGAGGGAACCAGGATGAGGGGAGAAAGACCCGGAACTAATTGGGAAGTAGACTTCACTGAAATCAAGCCAGGTAAATATGGTAACAAGTACCTCCTAGTGTTTATAGATACCTTTTCAGGCTGGACAGAAGCTTTCCCCACCAAGCGAGAAACCGCCCAGGTGGTTGTCAAGAAAATCCTGGAAGAAATTTTCCCCCGGTTTGGACTGCCCAAGGTAATAGGGTCGGACAACGGCCCCGCCTTCGTCTCCCAGGTAAGTCAGTTGGTGGCCAGATTACTGGGGATAAATTGGAAATTACATTGTGCATACAGACCCCAGAGCTCAGGTCAGGTAGAAAGAATGAATAGAACAATTAAAGAGACCCTAACTAAATTGACATTGGAGACTGGCACTAGAGACTGGGTCCAACTCCTCCCTATGGTTCTGTTCCGAGTCCGGAACACTCCCGCGCGCCATGGGCTAACTCCTTACGAGATTCTCTATGGAGGTCCCCCACCAGTAACGGACTTACTAGATTCTGCTATTGACCCTCTTGCTAACACTCCCGGTTTACAGGACAGGCTAAAGGCGCTCCAGATTATCCAGCACCAGATCTGGAAACCCCTTGCGGCTGTCTACCGCCCCGGAGACACAACCGGCCCACACCCGTTCCAGATCGGGGACTCCGTCTACGTCAGGAGACATCAGTCCAGGACGCTTGAGCCCCGCTGGAAGGGCCCATATACTGTACTACTGACCACCCCAACCGCCTTAAAGGTAGACGGCATTGCTGCTTGGGTCCACGCCTCACACGTCCAGCGCGCCCCATCAACGAGCACCGCTGACGCCAGCCAGGACGGACCGGACGAGCCACTCCAATGGAAGCTCCACCGCACCCAAAACCCGCTCAAGATAAGACTTTCAAAAATTGTTCAATGACAGTTGTTATATTCCTACCTCTCCTAGCGCTCTTCACCTCCGCCAAAGGTGACCCTCATGCCCTCAAAAGGTTAACCTGGCAGGTACTAACGTCTGGGGGTGACGAGGTCTGGTCTATAACTAAGACCGCCCCCGTGGGAACCTGGTGGCCTGACCTATATCCTGACCTATGCAAGCTAACCATAGGGGCCCCTAGCCCATGGGACCTAGAGGGATACTTCGACACCTCTAGAGCCCCTAACCAAGAAAGCCCTCCAGGGCGACTGGGATTAGACCCATGGGGAGGATGTGGCACGCCTGACAGAAGGGCCATGCTAAGCACTCTTCCCTTTTATGTCTGTCCCGGGCACCACAGAGATCGCAGGCTAAATCCCACCTGTGGAGGAGGGGAATATTTCTATTGTAAAAATTGGGGGTGCGAAACTACTGGGGATACAGAATGGAGGCCCTCCTCCTCCTGGGATTATATCACTGTCAAGGCTAACTATACTCACCCGACATTTAGCAAATGGAAAACCCTTAATTATGGGCCCTGCCAAGGGTGGTGTCATCCCCTACGGATATCCTTCACGGAGCCCGGAAAAAGGGCTACTTACTGGGCCAATGGATATACGTGGGGACTCAGGTTATACAAAGAAAGAACAGATGATGGTTTTATATTCAGAATTAAACTAAAAATAGAATCCCCAGACCCCGTGGCGATCGGGCCTAACGCGGTCCTCGGGGAACAAAGAGCTCCTGCTAAACTAACAGCCCGGCCCTAGCTGCAGGGAGTGCCACACCCACTAACTTCGCGGTCACTCCAACCCCTGGGTCGTCACCCGAGACGGGACAACGACTGTTTAATCTTATCATAGGGGCATTCCTGGCCCTTAATCGAACCAGCCCCGATGTAACTAAATCCTGCTGGCTCTGCCTTGCTTCCCCCCCCCCCTTATTATGAGGGAATTGCTACTTCAGGGACCTATAATAACATCACTAGCACTCAGGGATGCACACCCGACTCCCAACCACAATTCACCCTTACAGAAGTTACAGGACAGGGAACCTGCATAGGAACACCCCCCCGGGGCTACCAGAGACTCTGCAACACTACCACCCCGATTTTGGGGACTGATTCTTACCTGGAGCCCCAGCCGGGAACTTGGTGGGCATGCAACAAAGGCCTCACCCCCTGTGTGTCGGCTAAGGTTCTAAATAGCTCAAACGACTTCTGTGTCATGGTGCAGATCATACCCAGGGTGTTCTATCACCCTGCTGAAACTCTAGAAAATCAGTATGATAAACATCCCACCCGTTTTCGGCGCGAACCTGTCTCCCTAACCTTAGCCGTTATGTTGGGACTAGGGGTCGCTGCTGGGGTGGGTACTGGCGCAGCTGCTCTGATCCAGGACTCACAACGTTATATAGAACTCCAAACAGCTGTAGATGAGGATCTACGGACACTAGAGCAGTCCGTTTCTAAGCTAGAACAGTCCCTCACCTCACTTTCAGAAGTAGCACTTCAAAACAGGAGAGGCTTGGATTTACTATTCCTGAAAGAGGGAGGACTGTGTGCGGCCCTGGGAGAGGAATGCTGTTTCTATGCAGACCATTCTGGAGTCATCAGAGACTCCATGGCCAAACTCAGGGAAAGGTTAAATAAAAGACAAAGGGACCGGGAGGCCCAGCAGGGCTGGTTTGAAAGCTGGTTTAATCAGTCTCCCTGGTTGACCACCCTAATCTCTACCATTATGGGCCCTCTAGTTATCCTGCTCCTGCTGCTAACTTTCGGCCCCTGCGTCCTCAACCGGCTGCTCCAGTTCATCCGAGAAAGATTGTCTATTACCCAAGCTCTGGTATTAACTCAGCAATGTCGGGCCCTCCAAACTGAAAAAATAAATGTTCCCTAAGATTTTAAGGTTAAAATCAGCCCAAACAAGAGGAGGGAATGAAGAAACCTCCCCCCCCTTGTAAGTAGGGCCAGCCCTAACCCAGAGGCAGCCCATCCAGGCGTCTTCCTGAAATTTTAGCAACTAAAAGCATTCTGTTTACAATAAGAAAACCATTTCCCCCCCAACACCCTGATTGGAATGTCCCTGAATAGGTTCATGTTGACCCTCCCGGAAATCAACCTGGATGCCATGCGACTCCCGCGGTTCTTTTGTCTTTAGGCAGTTTCTTTCCTTTTGCCTTTTAAAAGATCCCTGTAATTGCTAATCGGGGCTCTTTTCCTCCTCGGAGGCGGAGAGCCCGTTTGCGCAAACGCTCAATAAACCCTCTTGCTAATTGCATCTGCCTGTCTGGGGTCTGGGTCTCTGGGGCGTCCACCGGGCCACGTTGGCACCCGTGAGCCAGAGTCCAACACTGCCATGCATGCCAGTTAACTAATGCCACCGCCCATGTATCTAACCCAGGTACCCAGCTCCAAGGGGACCGCCCAGGAGCCTACTGGGAAGTGGACTTCACTGAGGTAAAACCTGGAAAATACGGATACAGGTATTCACTAGTGTTCATAGATACTTTTTCAGGATGGACAGAGGCATATCCCACCAAACATGAAACGGCACAGACCGTGACCAAGAAACTGCTGGAAGACATCTTACAGAGGTATGGTTTTTCTCTTAAGACTGGGTCAGACAATGGCCCAGGATTCATCTCTAAGGTAACACAGGGAGTGGCACTAGTACTTGGGGCAGATTGGAAATTACATTGTGCATATAGGCCCCAGAGCTCAGGACAGGTAGAGAGGATGAACATAACATTAAAGGAGACCTTAACAAAATTAGCCCTGGAGACTGGCAGGGACTGGGTGACTCTCCTCCCCTTCGCCCTATATAGGGTGAGGAACTCCCCATATAAGATGGGACTGACTCCCTACGAGATCATGTTTGGTCTTCCTCCACCTATTATCCCTAATTTAAAACCTGAGGTACTTGCTGAATTTGATGATCACCAACTTCTTTTCTCCCTCCAAATATTAAAACGAACCCATGAGCAGGTGTGGCCTAAGCTGAGGGCCCTCTATGAGACTGGGCCACCCCGGGACCCCCATTGATATCGGCCAGGTGACTGGGTGTACGTGCGGAGATACCAACACCGGACACTTCAACCTCGCTGGAAGGGACCTTACATCCTGATCCTGACCACTCCCACCGCTCTCAAGGTGGATGGGATTACTCCCTGGGTCCACTACACCCACATCCAGCCAGCTGACCCACACGCCATTCTCAAGGACTGTGTTCCAGAATGGAAAAGCCAGCTGAACAAGGACAATCCCCTAAAGCTAAGACTGCACCGTTCTCACTACAAGACTCCCTAGTCTGAGGTTGTCTTTCAAAATAGAAGGGGATTAAACTTAGTCTTCTTACAACAAAGGGTGGGGTAGGGATGATTATGTGCTGCCTTAAACGTAAGATGTCCCTTCTTCCCTGGAATGTAAATGGGAGCGAGAATAGCAACAAGGTTGGTTAGAATCCTGGTTTAATCATTCCCCCCGGCTCACTCTGAGAGCAACCTGGACCTATGATTGGGTCCTTCCTTAGGTTCCTCTGAGAGGGGGAAATGTGGAGGCCCAGAAAATTAAGGCCATTCCACTTTAAGTTCAGCATTATCACAAGTACAGCCATCCCAGGCCCCTGTGAATAAGAGCTGAACTTGACCTTACTTCAGTTACAGGAAGAAAACAGCTTACAGCTTAATGTCCTAGAAAGCCCCTATTAGAATGAGAACAGAGCCCAAGCCAAGGGCAGGAAGCCCCTATTAGAATAAGAACAGAGCCCAAGCCAAGGGCAGGAAGCCCCTATTAGAATAAGAACAGAGTTCAATGCCCTTGAAAGCCCCATATCAAAATGTAAACAGAACTTGAGAAATTCCTCCACCCCTTCTGAAGATCCCCTAGACCAGCCTATAAAAAAAAACTAAGCTGAAACCCACCTCGGGGTCCAAGTCCCTGCTTTGCTGTGTTGGGTATACTTGGACCCAAGCTCCAGCTTGTAAATAAACCCTCGTGTGTTTGCAAAAAAAAAAAAAAAAAAAAAAGGGAGAGGCAGACCCTGCTTCTTTGTCGTGTCCTTGTGCTCAAAAGATCCTTCCCACTGTTTTGACCAGAGGTAGCCCTTTTGGGGCGGGGTAGAAAGAAGTTTGCCCCTAAAGTGAATAGAAGTATGAATGTAAATTTGTGCTCTGTCGAAGATCAAGCAGGAGACTGACTGCAAGGATGTCCACTACATGAAATGTTTTGAAACTAGGTAATCTCGAGAAAAAAACAGTGTATAATAAATAAAGGAAAGAATGAGTCAGAATTGAAAGACGATGGTTAGTAGAGAAATTTGGTGTGAGAAGAAGGCACTTGAGAAGCTTCAAGAGTGGATGACCAGAAAAATATTGCCGTTAGAAACAGGAAGGTAGTAGAGTGTTGCTGGAGTGTAGTCTATACTCAAAGGTAAACAGAAAGCAATAGAGGTTCTTCATCAATAACCAGGTAGATTTCAGCTAAAGGACTCTATCTAGGCTTGTGATAAAAGCAAATATAGGAGCTAGGATAAGAGTATCAACTGCTTAATTCAGCCAATAAATATTTATTGAGTACCTACTACATACATGTGTTAGGCATACGAAATATACAGATGTATAGCAGTGAATAAGACAGACAGGGTAGTCTCTTCTCTCCTGAAGAATATAGCCTAGTTAAGTCTAGGGGAAATAAAACAATGCTTGGGATGAGAAGACTTAGAATGGGTTCACACTGACAGAGGCAGAATCAGTAAAAGTGATCAAGGTAAAAAACAAATTTTAACATTTGTATATATAATTTTCATATGCCATAATTTATATTCTGGAATTCCTTACACGGTAGTAGTCTCTTAAATTTTCAATGAGTATGTGGTATCTATTTTTCTGAAAAGGGACCCTAAGGAAAAAGAATCCAGAGTTACAAACATAAAGTCACAGCCCAAAAAGGAGGATGAACTTAAGCCTAGTGAAGTGGCACAAGGAATTACCAGTAGAAAAAGTTGGGAGCTTTATAATGAAAGTTTCTAGTTCTAAGCACTTTTAAAAAATGTATTTTAGAGGAGGAACCAAACAGCTGAACTAGTAATTGGTTTCATTTCCCAAAAAAGTTTACTGATGTACTGGGTAAGTATAGTCTTTTTTTTTTTAGAGCGCGCGGGGGGGGGGGGTAGGCAGATGGGGAAGGTGTGTGAGAGAGAGAGAGAGAGAGAGAGAGAGAGAGAGAGAGAGAATCTTAAGCAGGCTCTACTCCCAGGATCAAGCTTGATCTCACAACCCTGAGATCAGGACTGGAGCTGAAACCAAGAGTCTGACGCTTAACGGACTGAGCCACCCAGGAAGCCCATGTAAGTATATATTTTTAAAAGATTTTATTTATTTATTCATTCATGAAAGACAGACAGAGAGGGAGGAGAGAGAGAGAGAGAGAGAACAGAGACACAGGCAGAGGGAGAAGCAGGCTCCATGCAGGGAGCCCAATTGTGGGACTTGATCATGAGTCTCCTGGATCACACCTTGGGTGGCCCTAAACTGCTGAGCCACTAGGGCTGCCCTGTAAGCATATTCTTAAATCTTGTATTCTCAATGATTGGGAGGGAAGGTAAAAGCAGGAAAAGATAATGGGCAGCTGAAGAATATACCTAGTGCTTAAGTCCACACCTCTTCAACCATCCTGAATGCCCCCACCCCTATCAATCAGTTGGCCAATCCTTTCACTTAACTTTGATTACCCCTGACAAG